GTATGGCCGTGGCCCCGCCCCCAGCGTGCCCAGCGTCATAACGTCACTTCCCTGTGACGCGCATGCTGAGGCGGGGTTCCCCCTGGGGCCCGATTCCCCGGCGTTGGGGAACGGGCCTCTGGGGCGGGGGTTTTTCCGCCCCCCAGGGGGACTTGGCAGCCCTAATGGCACTGTACCCAGCTGAGGTCCCTCCCCCCTCCAAACCCCACCCTCTTCAGGCTCAATTCTCAAAATCATCAGGTATTTCCCAAACCAGAGCTCAACTGGCAGCCCTAGCCACAACCCATAATTTCCATGACAACAAAATATTGGTGGCTGCATATACATCAGCCAGAATAAAGCTGCCAGTCCACACCAATGGCACCTCCACAATAATCATACCTGAACTAGAAGCTCAGTGGCAGTCTAGCATGCCACCAAAGAAATTATATAGAAAATACCATCCTGGCTCGGATCTGCCGTGGTGTTTCTGCAGATGGAAGGATTTCTGCAAGGGAAATGTGGCTTTTTCTCCTCCCCCTTTCCGCTACAGCCCGAAGTCCCAGCTGTGGAAGGGAGGCGAGAAGATTGTTCTCTGCAGGTAGAAATACCTGTATTTGCAGAAATACTCTGGTGGATCCAAGCCCATGTAAAGATGTGGCACTACCACATGTGACTAGTAATAAAAGAAATGTGTCTCAATTTAGCAAACCAATTTACTTATTTGGTTCAAACATTCCTACTAAACCATGTTTTTGCTTCATACTCTTTTCCGGAAGACATCTGATAAGGAAAAGGATTGCCTTGCATTCCGCACTCAAGAAAAAGATTTATCATCCATACGACCAAACTTGATAGCTTTGCTGCAACACTGGTTGACAAAGCCCGGCCACCATTTTTTAATTCCTTACTTCTAGAGGGCTAGAATTATGTTGCAAGCAACAGACTCATCCTGCTTGAAAGATACCATGCCACAGTTTTACTTGTCAGCCATTTTACAATTCCTGAAGGTTTTCTGAACTGTCCTATAAAATACTGTCTCTTTTAAACATTCACAGAACCATAGTTAACGAGGGTAACACCATAGGCAAAATAGTCTGTGGCCCCAGTCACACGGACCAGATAATGCAGGGGGGAGGTGTGGCCTTTTGCGCCGGTGCACTTTGACCTGCCCAGACGCGATCAGATGCGATGGCGGGGAATCGGGGTTTCGTTTCGTCGGCGCACGTTTCCGGCGCGCTTCAATGCAGCGAGGGGAGCGCACTGGAGCGATCAGATGGAGGGCGTCCGTCTGCGGCCCGTCGCAAACATTAGATAGTGGACTTTCTCCGGTACCTTTTAACTCCGGATCTTCGGCCGGACGCGACGGGTTGGCAACGGGTGCACAACGCTTGCCAGATGTGCCCGTTTGATCGCACCCATAAAACCCGCCTGGCATCCGTGAAAGGGTGCTGCTACCGTGTTTCCCCGAAAATAAGACACTGTCTTATATTTATTTTTTCTGAAGAAGACACACTAGGGCTTATACCACAAATGCATAGAAATCCTGCTAGGGCTTATTTTTTGGGTAGGTCTTATTTTCGGGAAAACAGGGTATGCAACACAGACATTTCCAACTGGTTGTGGACTACAGGCCTTCTCTGCCTGTGTATACTAAGAGCCTGCACCCTGGGATCCTTGCCTAGAGCGGCTCACTCACAATCAACCTAATTTAGAAGCACCAGCGCCAAGGGCTGGCGGACATCTTACACTAGGAAAAAGAGATGGATTATCCTCAAGACCTATGAAAGGAATCCAAGAATCCACTGTTTTTAAACATTAAAACTGAAATATGTGACTGGGAAAAACCCAACATTTATATATATATTTTAATCAGACACAGAATTCACAGCCTACAGTTCACCTGAATACAAATCTATGGTAGACGTTACTGAGCCATGCTCTTGCTTCTCTGTTTTGGCCCTAGGGTTGCCTGCCTCCAGGCAGTGACTGGAAGATCTCTTGCTATTAAAATTGATCTCCAGGCGAGAGAGATCAGTTCACTTGGGGAAAATGGCCACTGTGGAAGGTGGATTTTAAGGAATTATACCCCACTGAAGTCCCTCCCCCAAACCCCGCCCTCCTCAGGCTCCACCCCCACAATCTCCAGGTATTTCCCAGCCAGGAGCTGGCAACCCTATTTGGCCCTGATTCAATGAAAATTACTTTCACTTATGTCATGACTAACTTGTCCCAAAGATTCCAACATAATTAACTTTACCGAGACAGTAATCTGTCTTTAACTATTATGTTTCCTTCCTCTTTTCGATTACTTATCACACTTCTATCCAATACTCTTAGCTAAAAGTTTCCTTACTCCCACCTTTTTCTCAAATTTGCAATCAGCAAGATTAGCAACTTCCACACATTCTAAAAACAAGTTGGCTCCATCTCATGGTTGTTTTATTAGTGCACTGTAATAATTTTATCACGTTGATTGTTTGTTAGCTGTTTTAATGCTGCAAATTGCCCAGAGTCTGCTTGCAGGGTTGGGCGATTCAGAAATCAACAACATCATCTTCTCCAAATGCGTTTTGGTACATATCAAGCCACTATATAAAACAATGCATGGTATGGAGAAAACGAGTACACATGAATTTGTGCAGCAAAAGAAAACACACACACACACACACAAGAACACCAGGTTCTTTCCACAGTGCGTAATCCATGCACACAGGCTTGTACAGCTTTAAAAAGCAGTTAGACAAATGGAAGCTAGGTCTACCAATGGCTATTACCCAGTTAATTAAACAGCATGTCCAGATTCAGAGACAGAATGCCTCCAAATATGACTTGCCGGGGCCAGGGCACACAGTAGGGGAAGTCTGATGTTTTCATGAGCTGCTAAACACAACTAGCCACAATAGAACAAGTATATATAACCCTTAGGTCAGATCCAACAGGGCTCTTCTTAATTTGAAGCCTTGCTTCAGCTAAAGAGGCTGCTCCTTTGGTGGAAAAGTCTCTTAAATTGGAGGATTTGCTACAGCCTATGGAATCTTCCTCCAAAATGCACCAGACAGACAACTCAGGAGCTGCCCCAGTGAAAAGGTGCACTGTACCACATCACCCTTGTGTCTGTTTCATAGGTCAGAGCCCTGCTTGTAATTAAGCCACTGACGACACACCGGACTTACCACTTTTCTAAAGTCCTCTCCTGCTTCATCAAACTTTCCCTGCTTAAGAAGCAGCTGTCCCCTTTGCAGCCTTGCCTAAAATACAGGAAACAGTTCTGTAATACACAGGATTCTTTAAAGTGAAGAATACATTCAACAGAGTTTTGCAATTAAAAGCACGGAATGTTTGTTTTTCTGCATTCTTGCTTACATCCACATGTTCTATTCTTTCTTACCCTACAATTTTACCAAGACAAACGTTCTCTGGATTTTAAATTCAAATTGTTAGAACATCACTGCAAATGAATGTGCAGATCCATAAACAAGCTATTTTTTTTTCTTTGCGGGTTCCTTCAGACTACAGCTTCACAAAAATACCTGGGCTAGGATCCCACCTACATTTGGGGTGTGTGTGATTTTCTCTGACCCCCTCCTCCGATAGGCAACCTCTGATCCTCCTCCCAGCTAGTCTCGGGGGTCCCCATCATTAATGTTTTTAATTGTCGATTTGTAAGCCACCTCAAGCCACAAAGAAAGGTGGGACATACATATTGTATTAAAATAAAATAAACAAATGCAGATTTTAGAAGAGTCCAGGTTCTGGCTTGAATATCCCAATTATCTAAAGTGACAGTCTGGCACACTCAAACCCTCCATTTACTGCAAGTCCGTCCCCCCACCCCCCGAGGCTTCTGAAATCTGAAATTTTCTTGCCATCTTGGAGTGGATTGAATTATTGCTGATGTATGCACTATGTATTTTATTGTAGGATTTTAACTTCTAGTAATTTACTGTAGGTTCCTTTCCGTTGTAAGCCGCCCTGAGCCCTGCTTGCAGGGAAGGGCAGCCTAAAAATTTGATTAAATAAATAAGCGTTCTACTTTTTATCCTAAATTCTGATGTGTAACTAAGATACGTAAACTGTCTCTCTAGTTTTAAAAGGTGCCATGGGGGAGGGAGTAGTTTTCTTGGTCAAAGCGGTTAAGAACATCAGATCTCTAAGCAACCTGATGGAGAATTTCCCAACACCGATAACACTGCTGGTGTGGGTGCCCGCTCTTTATAGCTTAACTTAAACAAAAGAGATACGTCCTGGCCCAAAGAGTTTACGGGCTGACCTGGTAGTGAGGGGGCACCTTATGGAGCTAGATCATATATAGGCTCAGAACTGGCCCAAATAGGGTTGCCATGTCCCTTCAAGATGCCAGCAGGGGGTGGGGGGACGCTCTGGGAGCCAGACGTGTCGCCCTCGACGTGCCAACGTCACTGTACTTACATCACCTGGAAGTGCTGTAGGCATATTGGGGGCAACACTCTGCTTTTTGGGCAAAACTCTATGGTAAAATTGCCCTCAAACCATAGAGTTTTGCCCAAAGACCAGAGTGTCGCCCCCTCCCCGACATCCTGACATAACTTCCTGGTGACATAGGCACATTGCTACACTATGGCCCTGGTCACACGGAAAAGTTGCCGCGGGAGAGGCACAGAAGGTGGGCGGATTATCCGGGCGCGATCACACCCCAACATCTGGGGTGCACTCGTGGCTTACCGCCGACAATGCACATTTAAAAACTAGTACCTCCAAGGTACTAGTAAACGTTTGCCACGGGCTGCCTCTAGACGCCCGTGGTGTGATTGCGCCGGCGTGCGGCATTCCCCTCCGGTCCCTCGATTACCCGCTGACGCTGAGGGAAGGACCTGTGCTGTGCCGCTGGCGCGTCTGATCGCGTAATCGCAGATCAAACTGCGCCGGGGCAATTAGCCACGACTCCCCCCCGGCGATATCCGGCCTGTGTGCCCAGGGCCCCTGTTGCTGTTGGGGGGGGGGTTTCCTCCCACTGGCCAGCGGCGGGCAGGAACCCACAAAACCGGGGGATACCCTGCCCCCAACTGGGGACTGGCAACCCTAGGCCCAAATTCTATTAGTTTTTTAAATTGCAAAGCATTCCTACATTTTACACAGGGAACTCAGAGTGAGAGAGAGGGCTGGAAGCGGCAACCCACAAACTAAAGGAGCACAGATCTTTCCTGCGTTCCCACCCCCACCCCCCAAAGAAAGCACAGCTTATTCCCAGGGTTGGCTGCAACGGCGAGGAGGAAGTGGGGGCATGAAAGCGCTCTTTTTCCCCTCTGTCATCAACAAAGCAGCACAGACAGAACAGGCAATTTCATCTCCTTCCCCCTCCCCATTACAGCCTCCCGACTTATGGAGCGGTTAGTTCACACAGGTCCCACGACCCTGAGAATAAGTTTTTCTGGGGTCAGAAAGGATTGAGGAGGTAGCAGAACCCACCAAAAACATCCACCACCATCAGTGCCCTCCACTGACAGAACATGCAACTCTGTTTGGAGTCAAGGCTCGGGAACAATTAATATTAAAAACATCAATGTACCATTTGGCATAACAGCGTTTAACAGGCTTGAAAAGAACGCCTTCCCTGTTAATATACCTCTTTGTATTGCACAGCTGCTAGAATCCAGGCTCACATCTTAACCACTCCAAGTTATGGGATGATAAAAGTTTTCCATCGGATTGTGCCACTTAGTGAAAACTCCCATTTAAAAAGCAACACAACAGACAGAAAAACACCACCGACACAAAGCCATTCCCCATCACCCCGGAGGAATCTTTAGAAAGCCTTACTTACCGATGTGAAATCCTGCTTTAACTCAACCACCCTGCTTAAGTCACGAATGGCGGCTTTAGATTTGCCCATGGCCAAGTAGACTGTGGCTCTTCTGTAATAGGCAAGGTAGTTATCAGAGTCCCCTTCTGCAAGTGAAGAAGGAGCAATCAGAACGGTGCCTCAAGCCAGCCAAATCTTTGGATACAGCTAAGCAAGCAATAAGGAGGAATAATAGCACCGTTACCAGAATTTTTAAACAGCGTGACACCTACCTTTAATTAGTATTTCATATGACAGTCATACTTCACATGGCATGTATTTGCATGTATTAATGCTAATGAACCTTTTAAAACCGTATGCATATTTGCAGCAATTTCAGCTCCCAGGTTATATTTAAGGGCTTCAAAAGGTGGGCATCTAAGTGCATTCCAGCTGTGGAGTGAAGTCAGGCGCCCCCCCGACCTGCTAAAGCTTTTTATCGCAAACTGCAGGCTTGCGTTTGGAAGGCTGTTTTACATTTTGCTACTCGGCGGTCTCCTGGCTCCTGCGTCTCTCATTTACAGAAGACCAAATAATCATCTCACTAGCGATCAGCAATGGAAAGTTCTTCTAAGCGTGCCCAGCAATTCCACTCGAACCGCCAAGCCCAACTCAGCTTCCGTTGCAATCTGCTAGTCGGGACACAATGAGAGTTTTACGGGACTGTCTTCGGCCTCCTAGGGCTTTACTGAACGAAGTTTTGAGTCTACAAAAGCTTATACCCAGAATTAAAGTTGTTGGACTTAAAGGTGCCACTGGACTCAAACTTCGTTCTATTGCTTCAGACCAACATGGCTACCCGCCTGAATCTAATAGGGCTTTACTGGTTATGGATTTCCTGGCAGCTCAACAGCCCAACAGGGTTTCTCTGGGTGTTTGAATTTATAGCTGAAATAACTGGCTCACTTTTTAATTCGTGGCAGGGCATGAGCTTTCATGAAGACGGGACCCTGCCACAAATGGTGTTAGTCTTTAAGGCGCTACCAAACTCTTGCTCTTTTCTACAGCTACAGATAGACTAACACGGCTACCCATGCTTGAGGTAGTATAAGAGAGGAGGTAATGCAGCACGCACCTGAAAAAATTAAGAGGTATCGGCAGGGCTATTTTTGGGGCGGAACGCACAGGAACGGAGTTCTGGCTGGCTTCCAAGTTGGCCACGCCTAGCAGGAACTCATTAGCATAATAGGCCACACCCAACAGCAGAAACGCATTAGGATTGGCTACATTAGGGGTGTGTGGCCTAACATGCAAAGGAGTTCCTGCTACAAAAAAAGGCCCTGGGTTTTGACAACAAACAAGGTAAGCAGAATAAGAAGCAAAAGGTAGGTGTGGCTGGATGAGCACACTTCTGGTAACATGGGGGTGTGGCCTAATATGCCAATGAGCTGTGCTGTCATGGGTGTGGCCTATTATACTAATGAGTTCCTGCTGGGCTTTATCTACAAAAAGAGCCCTGCGGTATCGGAAACCATACTTCTTGAAAGTCATGCTTCCTTCTAGGAGGCCTGCTGCCTAATACCTACAATTGCACGGTGATGCACAAGGCATTTGGTACATGCTCAGAGGGACTCGTCTTTGAAGAACAGTCTCCACACCCACAAAGAAAGGAACATTCAAGTTGCTATATTGGTAAGGGAAGTTTCTAGGCCAGACAATAACATTTTTGGCAACAGATTCTCTCTTTTAAAAAAAATCTTGGCTACTTGCTCAGTTCCTGAAAAGTAGCTGTTCAAATTTCACCCACAGAAAAGAAAGCAAGAGTAAATATGCTACAAAACTGCTGATTTTAGATTGGGAACATCCGGAATGGAAAAGACCTGCAAGACTAATCGATCCCTCCGCCTCAGATCTGGGCTTTGAGATTAGAGATGCAGGATCACAGATCCGGCACACGCTCAGTCAGCCCACCTATCTGTTCGTGTCTAAAAAGAACTCAAACTTCTTATCGCAGACATAAAAACCGCTCAAGATTTAGAGCCCGAGTACTTTTCTGCTGCACAAAATGGATGTGCTGATGCCTCCGCTCGGTAAATCGGGAGGATCAAGCTCAGGTTTAACAAATTGTGGCTAAGAACAATTCTGAAAATCATCACGGCACGTAGCGAAGGCTAAGAGATGGAAAAGCTTATCAGCAGCATTCCAGGAGCGTCCTTATCAAAGGGGTAAAATTGGGGGCGGGAGGGAGAGGAGTCATTAGGAGGGGAGACAGCAAATAATCTCAAAACAGTAAAAACAAACATCTTGAGCATTCATTACTACACTGGTGTCGCTGTTCTAAGGAAACTGAGCCTTCTTGTTGCTCGCTGGCTATTTGCTCCCATCAAATTTACTCCCAGGAAAGTCAGAGCTGCCTCTTCACACGCAGCCTTATTCCCCAGTAGGGAGAAAATCTCTGTGCACGAAAAGAAAGACATGCAGCGTCTCCATGAAGAGCAGCCCTTTTCAGATGGCTAAATTTTGGCCTTTCGAGCACGCGTAATGTGTGAACCTCCCAATATGTGAGGTTGGCATTTTAGGTGCACATGGCAAGGTCCATATTTTCCTTTAATATTCATGAACAGAAGCCCAGATTTTTGCGGAAATGCATTTGTGCATGGAAATGCAAGTGCTGCGTGGAAAGTATATGCATTGCCCCATTCGCATAAAATGGTGGCTGCATGTGTCAGGAAAACTGTGCATAGCGCATGCTCCCATTATACATTTTTGGAGTATCAAAATCAAACACTGAAAAGGGGCTACACAGCTCAGGTGCTTCTTTAGTCCTGAGTAGTCACACAATGGACTCTTCTTCCTTCACGCAAACATGGGGTTGCATAAGGGTTGCCAAGTTTGGCAACCAGTGCGAGATGGGAGAGGCAGGAACATGGGGGGCACCATCAGTGGCATCACTTCCCAGACAACCTAGAAGTGGTGTCAGTCCTGTCTAGGAATCACCAGAAACTCCATGGTAAAATCACAACTTTCCCAGCGATTCCTACAGAGGAGTGACATCACTTCCGGGTTTCCCCCAGAAGTGAGTTCACACTGTCAGACTGGCCTGTTTGTTCATTTTTCTCTCCCTGCTGTTCCTCAAGCACCATCCCCAAATCTCCATGGATATTCTAAGCCAGGATTGGCAAGTCTCCTCTGGACTTTGAATGCTCAAAGCAGGACACAGGCCTGGGCCTGCATAAGATGGCCTAGGATGTTAATTGTGGTCCAGAGGCACCTTTGTTAAGGCCAGATACCTGAACAAGCCCTAGGTCACTCGCATCCTCTGGAGAAGGCAATGCATTCAACTTACACGGCCAAAAGAACACTGTAGAAAAAGATGGGAATGGAAATCTGGGAGAAAGAAGTTCAGCAACTTCAGGAAGAAACCTCAGCACGTTGCTCCAAGACTTGAGCCCTATCTAGATCTTGGGAGCATCCGAAATAAAAGATATGTGCCATACACGAAAACAAACAAACAAAAAACCCTTTCTCTGCAGGGGGTCATTACCTACATACCAAAGGAATGCAGCTGTGCACTTGTGTACTAAATGTGCCCAATAAAGTAAAGTCTATCGAACATGACAAAAGACTCTCATAGAATGCACAACCAAGACTGCTCATCGCGGCACTGATGATTTCCAACCTGCTTTTACTACCCAAGCGTGAAAATGCTCACTGAGAACTAACGTGACTGCCAAGAGCATATCGCTTTCATTTACAGAAACTCGAGGAATAACCACCGTTGAGGTAGAACAGACTGCATCGCAGTCCTAACCAGCTAGTTCTTGTGAGCAGCCAAGTCCATGGCTTTATTATTTATTATACAGACTCTTCAGGGTAGATGACCCTTCGTATGGTTGGTTCCTGTCCCAAGGAGCTCACAATCTCTATTTCACCAGTGAGGAAGAAAGACATAAAAATAACAGGCTACGAGTTTTGGACAGCCGGTGTCGTGTAGTGGTTTAGAAGTTGAACACTGGACTAGGAACCAAGGAGACCCAAGTTCGCATCCTCTCTTGCCACAAAACCTACGGGGTGGCCCTGGGCCAGTCATTCTCTCACAACCCAACTCACAGGTTGTGAGGATATAATGAAGGTGGGGGGGAAACAGGTACACTTGTTTAAGGGGGACTTGTTGTGAGGATATAATGAAGGCAGGGGGAAACAGGTACACTTGTTTAAGGGGTGGGATAAAACACACACTACACAATAAAATGAAATAATGAAAGTGTCAGGCAGTCATTAGGGGTGCTTGAGGTTTGTTGCAACTGGGGAGGAGAAACCATGTCCAGGGTTACAGGTTTAGTGGAATGCCCTGCTCACCAAAGGAGAAAGACTGACAGAATACACATGATCCTCCAGTGTTCCAGAACTTTAAGAACATAGAACATAGGAAGCAACTTTACATCAACTTATTATAATGCTAAGGCACCGGCAATTGGGATGTGACAGAAAGGCCAAGAATATTTTTTATCACTGAGTAACAGTCCTATAGAGTCCAGTTGCCCATCTCTATGGGAGACATAAGCCACTGCGAAGAAAAAGAAACCCCAGATATTGTTGGTGACCTTCAGATACTCACCTATGGCAGCATGGAAGTGAGACAAAGCATCTGCCAGCTGTCCGGCGGCTAACAGCTTCTTTCCCATTTCGAGCTGCTTTTCTACTTCTGCATTTATTCCACATTCTGCCCCTGGGGAAAGAAAACAAGAATGATGTCAGTAACCTGAATTGTGATTTGCCTTGCTTTTCTTTGACAACATAAAGTTAAGAGAGACGAGGAAGGGAGGAAAACTGGGTCAGCAGCTCACTGTGTTAGACCTGCAGCTGAGCATGGGATGTCCCACCCCAAATAATATTTTCAAAAACTACCCTAAGCCTGAACCAGCCCAGAGGCACAAGCCCTTGGCAAGATCCACAGAACGACTGAAGTGCTCTTGGCCTGTGGTCCCGCCAGCTGGGAGCCATCGATAGGGGGACAATCTGAAAAGAAACATGGGCTGACCACAGAAGAGTGAGAGAGTTCTGGTTCTGGACTGGCCCTGGAGGCTGTTATGAGAGGAGGAAAGGAAGGAGGATCAGATCCGAGGAAAGAGCTACGTACCAGGATGGCTCCGAGGAGTATGGTTTATTGTATTTTCTTCCCACTTAAATTGTAGGGGGGGGTGTTTGGTGCTTGGGGGGGTCAACAGTGGGAGGGCTTCTAATGTCCTGGCCCCACTGGTGGACCTCCTGATGGCACTGGTATTTCTGGCCACTGTGTGATACAGAGTGTTGGGCTGGATGGCCTTTTGGCCTGATCCAACATTGGCGTCTCTTATGTTCTTATGTAAGTCGCTTTGGATCCCCATTAGGTAAAAAAGCAGGGTAAAGTACCTAGATAAGTTATTGGTGGGGGAGACCACAGAAGTGTTAGGTCTTTTCTGACAGGCAATCAAAAAGAAAAATTCATGAGAAACTGGAAATAAGAGACCCATCCCTCCCATCCCATCCCAGCTTTTGGACTGCGGTTCAAACCGGTTTCGGGCATACAAAAGATGAACTTTGAAATATCAAGTTTATAACATTTACTTTCCTGCATCCAGAATCTCTTGGGGAACTAGTGCAAAGAGGATAACTCCTCACCCTATGTTAGATAGCACTTCTTTACAGCTACTTTTCTACTTTTGTTGCTTTATTTACCATTTTATTAAACTTGCTATTTCACTCCGTGCAGCTACTCCAGCTCAGCATGGCCGTCCCTAGTCATGGGATGGAGAAGGTGTTGGTTGCCCTCACGGGCGATCTCCACAGGCAACTGGATCAAGGCGGGTTGGCACTGCTCTTGTTGCTAGATCTTACAGCAGCGTTCGACACAGTCAGCCATGATCTGTTGACCCACCACCTCACCGACACAGGAGATCATGCAATGGCTTACCTCATTTCTCCGAGGTTGGGGACAGATGGCTTTTTCAGCCCTGGCTCCTACCTAGTGGAGCCCTCTGCCAAATAACATCCACGCCCTGCAGTACCTTGTGCATTTCTGCAGGGCGTGCAAGGCAGAGATGTTCTGCCAAGCTTTTGGTTGAGGACAACAACAGGTACTATCGTATCTGGCCCTCCCCTTCCCCCACTCTGCCTTCTCTCACTCATTGCAAGACAGTGAGGCAATCTGTAAATTTGTTTTTTATGTCATCTGAGGTTGTTTTTACCTATTTTTATCTCTTGGATTTTAAACTGTATTATACTATGTTGTTAACTGCCCTGAGCTCTGTGAATTCAGAGAAGGGCTGTATATAAATTGAAATTATAAATAGATAGATAATTAAGAGTCAAGTGCATTTATGAAAATTTTTCAATTTAAAAAGCAGTGACACACACACACACACGTATGTATGTATGTGTAGATGGTAACCTGTACTGACAATGTGTGGGCATGAAATACTATGTGGGTGACAAATGTGCAACTCAGTGAAATTCACTATGAGGCACACAGTTCCCATCAATTAAAAGAGCCTCATGACTACTGCATGCCCCAACCCCAACATCACACAACCAATAACGAATAACATTTTAAATTATACCAGAGCATCTCTGAGAATGTTGGGTTTATTTCCCCACTGCTGGGAGATTTGTTTCATGGGATTGTCAGGCAGTGCCCGGCAACCAGCAGCACAGCTGGGGGCAGGGATACCCGGGGGGGGGGGCTACAACACTAGCTAGGTTGTTGTGTTACTTCCAGTAAAAACCTAGACATATGTAGATGTAGGAATTGCCAGAAACACACACTTTCACACACGCTGAATCGTGCACTTCCAATTCACTTCCAATGCACTTTACAACTGAACTTTACTACGTGTGTGAAATGGCAAAATCCATGGCAAACCATGAATACACACACATGAACACACATGAAGCTGCCTTATACTGAATCAGACCCTTGGTCCTTCCAGGTCAGTATTGTCTACTCAGACTGGCAGCAGCTCTAAAGGGTCTCAAGTAGATGTTCTTTCACATCACCTACTGCCTGGTCCTTTTAACTGGAGGTGCCAGGGGTTGAACCTGGGATCTTCTGAATGCCAAGCAGAGACTCTGCTACTGCGCCACAGCCCTTCCCCATCTCTAAAGTGCATTCTAAGTGGATTAAAGTACATTATTCAGCGTATGTGAGAGCTTTTGGTGATTTCTAGAGTTACCTTTTGTCAACTTCCGCTTTTTTAAAAAACTGTAAGTGATGCAATATCACAGCCTGAGTCTCTTTAAAAAAACCTTTTTCCCCACCACCACCACTCTGAGCAGCAGCGAAGGATCCCCCACCCCAACCAGGGGCCTGGAAGCCCTGTTGTGTTATGGGTTAGTATTCAAAAATGGTATGCCCCATCCCACCACTCACTGTTGCGCATATTGACCCAGCCTCATGTATAGAACCCCAACATATCCACAACTCTGATATAATGATTGTGGGCAAGCTGTGCTATGTTTAAACTTAAAAGTTTTATCTTGAGCCCATAGTAACGATGCAATTACCCCAATTTCTAAAGTGATTACCCACGTTCCCAGGACGTGGGGTAGGTGACACATTGGGAAGCAGTGCTCAGAAGAGCTACAGGTGGCACATCAAAGAGCCACTGAGTATCACTAGCATAACTGATGAAAAACGGAACAGGTGGGAAGGAACAAAGTGATCTGCTACAGGTCACTGAGCAGATATTTGTGGAATGATTCTTCAATCTGTTACTTACTGGTATTGCCAAGAATGCTTCCTAGCTATAGATTGCGGACGTGTGGCCCTTCCAGAGTCTGTCCCCTGTATGAATGAGGTGAACTGCTGTAGAAGTCACAAAGAACATCACTGTAAAACAGCTCCACTCCTTAGTTAGCAGGCTACCCAGAGGCCTATAACTCTGTAGCTTTGGAAAAATAATTAGAAGGGGGAAAAAACTCCACTTTTACCTCAGACTTTCACCACATATGATTATCATCCAATGTTCCCTCTAAGCTGTGGAGTCTTGTGAGCAAAAATTCTCCTTTGTGAGCTCCTGGCATTAAAACTGTGAGCGAGCGGTTTGGCTCCTGCATAAATTAGTTTGCTCTGGAGCCCTCCTTCCTGAGCGAAGACAAAAATGTGTGAGCCGGAGGCTAAAAAACTGTGAGCTAGCTCATATTAACTCAGCTTAGAGGGAACATTACCCTTTCTGTTCAGAACCATTACCTCGTACATCTACCGAAACTTATTCCTAATCATTACTCCTTTCAGAACCATTACTTACACATGTATCCAGTAAACACTGCACAGCAGTTTAAGTTTTTCTTCTCAGGTATCATCACTCTTCTGCATACCCACCTCTCACTCAAAGAGTAATGCTTGTAGCTCCCAACCGGGTTTTTTGTTACTGGATTATGTTTCATGCAATTGTTCACATTCAGTGCATATATACAGACCTGATTCACTTTGTTTACTTAAAGCCAATGCACTCACACCCTTATTTAGTTAGAAAACTGATAAGACTCTTCCCCAGAAGCTACGAAAAGTGGCTCACGATATAAAAATTAAAAACCCACCAACTCAAGTAAAGTTAACCTGGCCTGGCAACAAAGCCTTCAACCGAGCAGCCATAAAGGCAACGGCACATCAGCCGCCGCCGCCACCCCCCCAAAAAAACAAAAAAGCATAACATAAAAGCATATTGAAAAATAGCACACAAAAGTCAGGCTCCACAGAAGATAAATAACCAACTAAAAAGTGGGATAAAACTCGAACGCCTGGACAAACAAGACCATCTAGACATAGGGGTTGCCAGCTCCGGGTTGGTAAATATCTGGAGATTTGGGGGTGGAGTCTGAGGAGGGCGGGGTTTGGGGAGGGACTTCAATGGGGTATTATGCCATAGAGCCCTGTAGGTCACAATGAGCTACGAATCAGCATCTCCTGGTGGCCCCCAATCCCAGCAATGTCCATCTTGCCTCAACTAGGGCTGGGGCTTTTTCAGCCCTGGCCGCTACCTGGCGGAATGAGCTCCTTTATGAGGTCAGGGCCCTGCGGAACCTTTTACAGTTCCACAGGGCCTGTAAGATAGAGCTCTTTCACCAGGCTTTTAGCTGAGATGGCCTACATCCACACCTTATTGGGCCTCCCCTTCAGTAACCCAGATCTGAATAACCATTTGGAACCCCAGCTCGTGGTAGACCTTGTCTGTTGAGGCTCTAGAGTACCAGAATTTACAATTTGTATTTTAATTCTGATGTACTTTAACGGGTTTTAACTGGTGTATTTTTTTTTTTTGCATTGTGGTATGATGGAACCCGCCCTGAGCCTGCTATGTGGGGAGGGCAGGATATTAAATAAATAAATAAATAAAATAGAGTCCTCCTTCCAAAGCAGCCATTTTCTCCAGGTGAATTAATTTTTATTGCCTGGTGACCTGGAGGTTGGCAACCCTAGTTTGGATGGTGTTTGGATGGTGCCTAAATTTCAACAGGCCAACCTCCAGAGAGAGGGGATTCAAAAGAATGGGGTAAAACACTTTAAAGGCCCCATATCTAGTTGCTGTCTGACTTCTTTGGAAAGCACAGCTTGAGACAAAGGTTTTAATATACATCAGCCGGTGACTTGTACATCTGAGTAAACCACCAACATCAAACACCGCATACAGACAGAATCTGAATTATTGCCTCACGTCAGCTGTAACATACTGGAGTAAGTTCATACATGGA